AAGCTCACAGAACGGGACCCCCAAGTGCTGACACGCATAGCGCATAAACATCGTCTGTCCTCAGTTGCAACACTCACTACCAAGTTCCAAACTGCCTCTGGAAGCAAAGTCAGCACAATAACTGTTCGTCGGGAGCTTCATGAAATGTGTTTCCATGGCCGAGCAGCCACACACAAGCTTAAGATCAATATGCGCAATGTCAAGCGTCGACTGCCATCTGGCAGTCCGACGGACGAATCTGGGTTTGGCGGATGCCAGGAGAACGCTACCTGCCTCAATGCATAGAGCCAACTGTAAAGTTTGGTGGAGGAGGAATAATGGTCTGGGGCTGTATTTCATGGTTCGGGCTAGGCCCCTTAGTTCCAGTGAAGGGAAATGTTAACGCTACAGCATACAATGACAATCTAGACGATTCTGTGCTTCCAACTTTATGGCAACGGTTTTGGGAAGGCCCCTTCCTGTTTCAGCATGACAATGCTCTCGTGCACAAAGCGAGGTCCATACAGAAATGGTTTGTCGAGATCAGTGTGGAAGAACTTGACTGGCCTGCACAGAGCCCTGACCTCAGCCCCATCGAACACTTTTGGGATGAATTGGAACGCCAACTGCGAGCCAGACCTAATCGCCCAACATCAGTGCCCGACCTCACTAATGCTCTTGTGGCTGAATGGAAGCAAGTCCCCGCAGCAATGTTCCAACATCTAGTCGAAAGCCTTCCCAAAAGAGTGGAGGCTGTTATAGCAGCAAAGGGGGGACCAACTCCATATTAATGCGCATGATTTTGGAATGAGATGTTCGAGCAGGTTTTCTACATACTTTTGGTCATGTTGTGTACATAAGTGCTCATGTACACCTTATTGTGTTGACTGTTCTCCAACCGTGTAGTTGGTATGCTGTAACATATACTGAACAAAAATATAAACGCAACATGCAACAATTTCAACAATTTTACTGAGTTACAGTTCATATAAGGAAATCAGTCAATTGAAATACATTTTTTAGGCCCTAATCTATGGATTTCACATGACTGGGCAGGGGCGCAGCCATGGGTGGGCCTGGGAGGTATAGGCCCACCCACTTGGGAGCCAGGCCCACCCACTAGGGAGCCAGGACCTGCCAATCAGAACGAGTTTTTCACCACAAAAGGGCTTTATTACAGACAGAAGTACTCCTCAGTTTCATCAGCTGTCCAGGTGGCTGGTCTCAGACAATCTTGCAGGTGAAGAAGCCGGATGTGGAGGTCCTGGAATGGTGAGGTTACACATGGTCTGCGGTTGTAAAGCCGGTTGGACATACTGCCAAATTCTCTATAACGTCATTAGAGGCGGCTTATGGTAGAGAAATTAACATTCAATTATCTGGCAACAGCTCTGGTGGACATTCCTGCAGTCAGCATGCTAATTGCACACTCCCTCAAAAGACATCAGTGGCATTGTGTTGTGACACAAAACTGTACATTTTAGAGTGGTCTTTTATTGTCCCCAGCACAAGGTGCACCTGTGTAATGATCATGTGGTTTAATCAGCTTCTTGATATGCCACACATGTCAGGTGGATGGATTATCTTGGCAAAGGAGAAATGGTCACTAACAGGGATGTAAACAAATTTGTGCACAAAATGTGAGAGAAATAAGCTTTTTGTGCATATGGAACATTTCTGCGATCTATTATTTCAGCTCATGAAACATGGGACCAACACTTTACATGTTAAGTTTATATTTTTGTTCAGTATAGTTTACTTCAGACATGGAAATAATTACCTCAGAGGATGGATTCCCATGCTTTCTCAAATTGTCTTACATCAACTCTTTTTCACTAAACTCTCTCCTCCCTTCTTTGCTGCAGATAACCCGATATTCCTTGGCAGTGGATTCCTTTGATATCAGTTGGTCTGGTCCTCCTTAGTCATGTAATAAAGGCAGCTGTGTGGCAGAAAGGGCAAAGGTAAGAACATGTAGTGTGCAGAACTCTGCATGTATCCAGCTAAATACAGGTGTGAGTGAATGTTTGCATGTGTGAATGTGTCGTGCCTCCAGAGATAATGCAGCAGGTTCAGTAGTTTCCATGGTTCCTATGGTGTGTGTTGGTACGTGTTAATGCAGGAGATTCTCTTCATTAGATCTGTGTTCTTGAAACACAGCCCAATGTGTTGTCTTTCTCCTCCTAGCATTCTTGCACACAGAGCTGCTTGCTGTGTAGCCATATGGCACACATACAGCAGGAGCAGAAGAGAGGGATGAGGGAAGAGAAAATGAGAAAAGGAAAACTGTGACTAGAGGGGAATCTCACCTGTGATCATGGCCAGTGGAGAAACTGACACCACGCCGGTATCACCGTAACTCATGAAGCTTCATGTCGTAGTCAGATACAGTGACCGTGATCCCTACTGACATCTTCTACATTATCGAAAGTATAGACATGGGCTGTAACAACATACAGTACAACACACTGGAACAAGTGGCACCTTCAATTATTGTTTATAACACCATTTCCTATTGAATGCAGAAAGGTTCCATACCTTAACATTACAAGGATATAGGATGAGAATAGGTCTAATGAGGTGTGATCTATAAATACTAGACTTACTAGCCTTAGCTGCGCAGATTCTGGCTGTGTCCATCTCTCCTGGTGAGGACTGTGAAACTATAAATACCAGTGGAGGCTGGTGGGAGGAGCTATAGGAGGACGGGCTCATTGTAATGGAATAAAAGGAACAGAGTCAAACATGTGGTTTCCATAAGTTTGATACCATTCCAGACATTACAATGAGCCCGTCCTCCTATAGCTCCTTTCACCAGCCTCCATAGATAAATACCCTCTCTCCTCCTGTGAGTGTGTTTCAATGCATGGGCTGGAGCTGCTGATACCCCCACTAGAGAGAGAGAGAGGGCGCAAGGGAGAGGGCTGTATAGTGTAAAAGCCAGGACACGAGCCAGGATGGATAAATGTTCAGCTCCTCGGACTCTTCAGTGACCAACAGACAAACAGCTTTTCATTGAGGCAGAAGTTGTTAAAGTTACACAAGGATGAGTAGCAATAGCCTCCTCACTTTGCTCGAAACATAATAATTTGATAATTTGATTTAAATGAAACAGCGGGATTGACATGAACTTTACAAGAAAGCTTTTATTAATACAACGCTTTATTTTTGCTATCTTTTGGCTGGCTATCATAGCTACTTTTGAAGTGAAAGAACATTGAACGAGACACTTTACATGGTACATATCAATCAGCTGGATTCACTTTAGACAAGTGATGTCATCTCTTGCAGAGTTAGACAGCGCTGTGGTTAACTTCGTCATTTGTTGTAAGGCACTTTAACAAAACCACAGGCATACTCAAATATCTGTGTCCTGACACCATTCCCACCTTCCTACATTAATTCTGCTGATTGCAATGCTTGGCTAAATTACACCCACTGTGCTCAATTGCTAGTGTGAGCTTAGTGTTTTGTGCATGGAACTATAATCTTACAAACAGGTGCAGTAGTACAATATTATCATGATGTTTGTCTCAACTCTGCAAGCACTCAGTCATCACTGTCATTTCTTTATCAAGTTCATTATCACAGTTAACAAAATACAGAAAAATAAATAACGAGTAACAACATTGGATAGATGTTCAGGTGCCTATAAAAATGAATTCAACAAAACTATAAAATGTTGTGTAAAGATATATTTGATAAAGCTCTGGAGCTCGAAATGTAATAAGAGGCACAAAGAAACAGTCATACATTAATCGATAGAACAAATCTTCATGTAGGGAGCACATCCAACCAATTCAGGAGAGGGAATACAAACATGTAACTAGGATTTACTGATGCCATTTCAAAGAATACCAGAGGTTATAAGTAAACTAACTGGAGTGTAGGCTGTGTGTGTATTACTATCCTCATGGATACCTGAAATCCCCAAAAGGATAGTAAAACAAGGACAATATACCCTTGTGGGGACATTTCCCAGGTCCCCACAAGAACAAAAGGCTATTTTAGGCTTAGGTGTAGAATTAAGGATAGGAGTTAGGGGAAATATGGTCTCCACAAGGATAGTAAAACATATGCTGTGTGTATGTGTGTTTGTCAAAAGTGCGTAGTGCATGTCTGGTTGAAAAGGTTTAGGAGTTAATCAGGAGATTCAGCACCACCCTCTGATTGATACTGCAGGTGCAGAGAGTTGTCTTCCTCTGAAATGCACAGTAGAAACTCCTCATTGGAGCCTTTACTCACTCCATGAGAGATGAGTCACTTCACCCAGTAAGGCAGTAGTGGTCATGGTAGATATTTCAGCTGGAACAATTTGAGGTTGAGACTGATTAACATTTATAATTTTAGTTTTAGTTTGGGATTTCTTTTTTTTTGGGGGGGGGGATTGAACAAATCACTATGAGACACTCAACCCCATAATAATGGCTAAAACGATGACACCAACAATCCCACCGATACCAAGATAAAGCATTTTCTGTGAAAAATAAGAACTGTCCAGGAAAAGAAGTGGGGAACAAAAGGAAAATTGAATCAGCTGCATTGTCCAAATACATACTGTACAGTCTTTCATAAAAAGCAATGAATTAAGAACTTTAAAAAATAAAAATAACATTCAGGGCCCTTACTTCCTATAGCCCACAGGCCAGGGGTGGCCAGTCTTATGTATAGGTTCCCATAGTGAGAAACCGGTCAGTATTTGACTAATGGGACTGCATTTTGAGAGTTTAAAGCAAACTGCTATTGGATATGACAGTATTTGTCTAGGTGTGTGTTAAATGATGAGACAATGTTTGTCTGTGTAGATCAGTAGTAATTACCTAAGGCTGTGCGGTTGAGGGCAGTTTTAGACCCAGAGACAAACCAACGATAAGTGCGATTACAGCAAGCAGGATCACCACGACTATGGCAATTATGACATACTTCTGCCAAAAACAAACAAGAAGCACAATGTTAGGCTTTATGTCAAAAGTGTGTACTAGGCCAAACATGCATTAGTAAAAACATTCAAATAATTGTCTGTTTTAATTGCAAGTCACATTTATTTCCAACGGTCTTTACAGCACAAAAATCACACAGACCACAGAAACAGAGGCAAGTGCCATGGCTAACAGTTCAGTGGTACACTTTTACAGGCAGTTTACATAGCGTAGTAGTTCAGTGCTTAACCTGTTGGGAAGCTCTATGGAGTGATACCATCTTCCCTTCATCAAATCTGACGTTAGGCTCCTGAGAGAGATTAGCTGCTCGGTGATAAATCTAATAGAAAGTTCAGGCTTGCGACACTAGCTTCACAGCGTTACAATTGATTGGCTGACCTTGAACGGGACATTAGCTTCATTCACAGTGCTAACTTTAATGGCATGTTCAGTGGCAGCAGGACAAGCTATGGCGATAGTGGCTCATTTGACAGCGGTGGGTTTTGGGTCGTTGGGGACGGCGTGGTGTTGCTCTTGAAAAGGCTGGGGAAACGTGGGAAAAGTCTTACCCTGCGTGCCGCTTTCTGGTACCGCAGTGCCTTCTTAGTCTCCACTTTGGCCACGCCGATGTACTCGGCTGCACTGCTCACGTTCTTCTCTATGTTGTTTATCATCTCCCCCTAGTGGACACACAGGACAACACACAGACCACAATACAGAGGTTATACAGGGGATCTTTGAAACCATATTTCAATTTGTATATGCTTATTACATTGACAAATGTGATTATATATGGTGGAGGCTAGAGGATTTATACACAAGGCAGTTTTGTTCCAAGTAATTTTTTCCTATGTGACATCCAACTCACCTGAGTCTCCACCAGCATGGCCATGTCAACAAACATCTCATGGAGCTCCCTGATGCTGGACTCCAGGCGGATGATGTCCTTATGGCGAGACTCGATCTCATTCAGAGCCTGGCGTGTGATCTGGGAGTCGGAGATGATCTGTACAGGGAGGAAGAGGTACAGGAAGAGACATTTATGATGTGGCAAAATAAGTCAAAGCTGTAACTGTGTAGAAGGAAATGAGTGCAACAATTCACTTTTATACTTATGCCTCTTGATTTACTAGTGTAAAGTGATACATGAATGTTCTGAGAATGTCCCACTCACATCAGAGGTGAAGATGGCAGGGTTTTCACTGTGCAGAATCTCCTCCAGCTCCTCATCAGTGGTCACTTTCCCAGCTTCAAGAGAGAAATTGGAAAATGTATTTCACAAATGAACTACAAGGGATCACTAACAGCAGACCAGTTACTAGAGAGCAAAACTCCTGTTCCTCTGGTCACCTGACTACATATATTGCAACCCCTCCCCCAGACAACCCTGCAAACCATTGCCAAGGCAACTGTAAACACAGGTGTCTCCTGTTGCAAGCTCCCCTTTCTGTAATCCTGGGGCGTGGCCAGGGTATTCCTCCTCCTCTCAGAACACTCCTGTTTGCTGATAAAGATGTACAGCACACAGAAAACAGGTGGCTGTCTAGGACTGAGCTAAGAAGGTAATAATGTTTTTCTCTCTCTCTGTGTCTGTAACGCCAGCACTCACTGATCTCCAGCTGTCTCTGAATCCGTCCTTTGCACCGCTCCCTGAAGGACATCTGGGTCTCGTTGTACATAGTCATGACTTCCACAAACCAGCGCATCAGATTTGTGTGCTGAAGGTGGGGAGAAAAAACAAACGGCACACACACAGAGGACTCCATTGGGGTCTATGTCTGGCAAACACATGTATTGTAGTTAACATTGGGTCCTGTTCTGACCTGGTTCGTCTGGATGCGCTGGTCCACAGAGGCTGTGTTCGCATTCTCATCCTCAGGCAGGCTGTCCTGCATGGCTGCCAACACACAGCAAGGCCTAGTCAGCATGATGTAATATACACTGAGTGTACAAAACATTAGGACCACCTTCCTAATATTGAGTTGCACACCCTTTTGCACTCAGAACAGCCACAATTCGTCAGGGCACGGACTGTACAAGGTGTCGAAAGCATTCCACAGGGATGCTGGCACATGTTGACTCCAATGCTTCCCACAGTTGTGTCAAGTTGGCTGGATGTCCTTTGGGTGGTGGACCATTCTTGATACACACAGGAAACTGTTGAGCTTGAAATCCCAGCAGCGTTGCAGTTCTTGACACCCTCAAACTGGTGTGCCTGGCACCTACTACCATACCCCATTCAAATGCTCTTAAATATCTTGTCTTGAGCATTCACCCTCTGAATGGCACAAAATGTCTCAATTGTCTCAAGGCTTAAAAATCCTTCTTTAAACAGTCTCCTCCCCTTCATCTACACTGATTGAAGTGGATTTAACAGGTGACATCAATAGGGGATCATAGCTTTCACATGGTCAGTCTTGTCATGGAAAGTGCAGGTGTCCTTAATATTTTGTACACTCAGTGTATACGAAATGCATACACACACATACTGTATGGATAAACACATTACTTAAACTCACCCCCAAACATACACTTGCAGAGGAAAGCAAACAATTAGTCCAACTTACAAATGTATGCACCAACCTAACATATTCACATACACGCATAGGCAGTTAGACACACACAGCTACATATATATATATATATATACACATCTTATCTATATGGTTAGCAGTGGGGGTCAAACTATTCCAGCCATGTGTTCACCTATGACCAGGTGTGTAGTAGTAGCTTTCCCGTACATACAGCTAATTTGCAAGTCAAATCTATCTTATAAAACAAAACTCCCTCTGAATTGAGGGAAGTGTTCCCAAGCCAGTCTGTAGTTCTCTGTAGTTCTCCCGCTTACATATTATTTAATTCATACCCTACCTAAACAGTCTCACTGATTTATTCTGAACTCACTTTTTAACTTGGCCCGCACTGTGTTGGCGTTCCTCTTGATTTCATTGGTGAGCTGATCCAGATCATCTTTGGTCCCTGAAGGGAGAAACAGTCAGCAGATCGAAGGCAGTGAGTGACTGGTCTGAGGTGCCAATTGAGGTCACTACATGCTGCCTTTTACAACTGTTCTGGGACCATCTATAATATGTTGGTGGCATATTGACCTGGCCTTCAGCCACAGTGCTGTATAATATTGATATTCATATCATTCAGTCCAATGTAGGCTATTCTGTTGGAGGCATCGTAGAATAGAATGTTCATGACTAGATATGACTGCAGATTTCTCAATGTGAAATCAACATCCATTTCCATCAGAAAACATATGAAGCATTTAAGCAATAAAAAAAAGATGATGTAATCAGCTGCCAAAGGTTGTCTGGCACTTCCTTAATCCAGTAATAACAGATTACTATTAGAGGAAACGGGCTGGTTGGTTGGTCTGGAGTTCTAGGCAGTGTTTCATGCCTGGCTCATTTGTATTTAATGTGACTTTCCCAGACTGGACAACATCCTGGAGAGGAACCATTTGCATCTGTTAATTTCACCTGATCTATTTAATGTGGTTTTCCAGTACTTTTCACATTTTAAAGACAATTTAGGTGAATGTGTGCAGCTGTGAGGAGGCCATACTCACTTTCCTCAGGGTTGGGGGCAGAGAGGATAGCGCTGTGTTTCTTCACCACTTCATCTACCTGGGAAGTGATCTTATCGATGAGGCGCCGCACCTCCCCCACCTTCCAAACACAACATGTCACTTTAGTTTACACACAACAAAGAGGCTTCTGTAATCAAAACATTGTATTACCCTCACTGAGGGTTACAGTGACATTTGAAAGGAATCAACAGTCAGCAAGTAACACAGTACATTTTTAACACATTGGCTATAGTCCTTGGCAAACAGAGCTAGAGAAGACGCATGACTATGCAAACTTAAAGCTCCAAGTAGACTACCTGTTTCAAGAAGTCGTCCCTGTGGGAGTTGTTCTCCACTGTGATGGTGCCATCATCATCCACATTAAAAGGGTTATTGTTGCTGTTCTGTGAAAACAATCGTCTGATCAGTAACCTCTGTAACCAAAGTAAATACTAGGCCTGCCATGACAACTACATGTTATTTCAGCACCCCATTGTGAAAAATGGACTGCACAGTCCTGCCATTGTGAAGTGTAATGCCAGAGGGAGAATAACATATTTCTTAAAATATACCCACATTAGAATAGACTTGGGTAACAAAAATAGTATGGGGTTTTGTTAAAAAAATAAAAGGCAACCTTTGGAGTCATAGGGTAAGGCATCAATAACCTTACCCAACCAATTTATAGGTACAGTAAACACAATAGAACAGTTATAATAAATGAAATGTAACATTGACAATAGTAGCCAGGTGTAGGCCTACATTACACTAACCTACCTGGCTGGCACACTGATTAAAAGGCTAACATATATACCGTAGGGCGTAGATAGGGTCCCGTATACCTGTTGACATCGATGAAACCGACAATAACAATTGTTCCCTAATTTTATGCTGAAGTTCAATAAAGCCTACATCTACTGTAACAGACAAGAGCCGTAACTTAGTTGACTCGAAAGAAACTACACACATTTTCATGAACAATTTAACTGAAACTTAAAGTGAGAATGAGAAGGAAAAAGACGGCCTAGTATCTAGATAGAAATGTTAGCTAGCTATTTCCATTCTCTGATGGTGATACTCACCGCTGTCAAATCGCCAAGGCGGTCCCTCATTACGCCCTTTCAACAATGAATTTGCTCAAAGCATGTGAAAACGACTTTGCTAAAGCTCCGTAAGTAGACCTAAAGACCATATAAATTCCCCTTTCGTTCAAATGTTCATGATAATAGTAAAACGTTATCCATTTGAGCAGTCTGTCGATTTTAAAAATAGATGGCGTTCAACCAAAAGGCGCTTTGCAGAGACCCGCGCGACGTTTGGCCACGCCTGCATGTGTGGAGCTCTATTACCTGGCTGACAACAGCAGCAGTGCGCTCTACAGGTGACAATGAGGCCTCTTATGGAAAGCTAAAAGGTTCAAATCGTCTTACCCGGAACAAGTCTTAACACTTATAATTATCATTTTTTCACTTGCTTCTTTCAAGTGTCAAATGTCATTTTTTGTACACATGATTTCTCCACCTAACCAGTGTGCGGTTACAGGTGATTTGAACACTTGTTATGATCATTTTTCATTTGCTTTTTTCAAGTGTCAAAATACATTTTTACACGTGTTCATTACATCTGTTTAGTGTGCATTTACAGGTGATTAGAACGCTTGTTATGGTCATTTTTACACGTGTTCATTACACCTGTTTAGTGTGTATTTACAGGTGATTAGAATGCTTATTATTGTCATTTTTACACGTGTTCATTACACCTGTCCAGTGTGCATTTACAGGTGATTAGAACGCTTGTTATGGTCATTTTTACACGTGTTCATTACACCTGTTTAGTGTGCATTTACAGGTGATTAGAACACTTGTTATTGTTATTTTTACACGTGTTCTTTATACCTGTCCAGTGTTCATTTACAGGTGATTAGAACGCTCTAACACAGAATGTCTAGAGTCTCGCTCCAGAGACTGGATGGGCCGACCCCCAGAGATGGGGGCTGACGCCCTGAAGGGGAGGCGACCCCCCCCCCCCCCCCCCCGCCGCTGGTTAAGGCCACCAGGGGGCACAACTACAGCCAACCAGCTCCCTTCCCCAGCGATATGGGGGAAAGGGCAAGAGAGGGCAAGAGAGGGCAAGAGAGGGCTGAGGCTGACCCAGGGAGGGGGGCCCAACCACTGGAGAGGGGTGCCTACCCCAGCCCATGGCCACCAGGGGGCAGCAGTACATCCAGCCAGCTCCCTGAACCAGGGAGATGAGGGGAGAGGACTGAGGTTGACAAAGGGAGGGGGGGCCGACCAGCTGCCCCGACCACCAGGTAGCGCCACTACATCCACCCTGCTCTCTGTACCAGGAAGAGGGGGGAGACTGCCAGAGAGGGCCCGACCCCTGCCCGTGGCCACCAGGGGGCACCACTAAATACACCCAGAGAGGGCTGGGGCCAGCCCAGAGAGCAGGAGCCAGAGAGGGCTGGGGCCAATCCCCGGAGGGGTCCTAACTCCCCGCCTATGACCACCAGGGAGCACCACTACATTCAGCCAGCTCCCTGCCCGGTCTGGGGAAACCCAGGGGTGCCGACCCCCGCCCACAGTCAAGGCCACCAGGGGATGCCACTACATCCAGCCAGCTCCCTGCCCCAGCTATAGAGAGAAAGAGTAATGCCGTCTTTTTGTAGGCACTAACTCCGCCATGGTTCGTTTGACAGCCTATGGCAAGTGGGGGCAAAGTACGGCCCGCACTGTCACATTGGATGTCGATGTGCTCCAATTGTGTGTCTGGTGGTGCTTTCTCACTGTCAAAGACAGGGGGCATGATACAAGCTCCAGCTCAGTCTCAATCCTGGTGAAGTCTGAGAAGAAAACTCAGCATGCAGGTCGATACTTTTTTCCCTCACTGTATATATTTTCAAGTTTGCATATTGTAACTGTAAGTTTGATTGTACTTTACAAGGGTAGAGATGCAGGATCTGTGTGTGTGTTTGACTGTGTCTGTGATGTTATAAATTATATACATTTGGTGAAAAATATGTTCACAAAAAACAAGGGTAGAATTGTTCTGCAAGCATATATACACTGCTAAAAAAAATAAAGGGAACACTAAAATAACACATCCTAGATCTGAATGAATGAAATAATCTTATTAAATACTTTTGTCTTTACATAGTTGAATGTGCTGACAACAAAATCACACAAAAATTATCAATGGAAATCAAATGTATCAACCCATGGAGGTCTGGATTTGGAGTCACCCTCAAAATGAAAGTGGAAAACCACACTACAGGCTGATCCAACTTTGATGTAATGTCCTTAAAACAAGTCAAAATGAGGCTCAGTAGTGTGTGTGGCCTCCACATGCCTGTATGACCTCCCTACAACGCCTGGGCATGCTCCTGATGAGGTGGCGGATGGTCTCCTGAGGGATCTCCTCCCAGACCTGGACTAAAGCATCTGCCAACTCCTGGACAGTCTGTGGTGCAACGTGGCGTTGGTGGATGGAGCGAGACATGATGTCCCAGATGTACTCAATTGGATTCAGGTCTGGGGAACGGGCGGGCCAGTCCATAGCATCAATGCCTTCCTCTTGCAGGAACTGCTGACACACTCCAGCCACATGAGGTCTAGCATTGTCTTGCATTAGGAACCCAGGGCCAACCACACCAGCATATGGTCTCACAAGGGGTCTGAGGATCTCATCTCGGTACCTAATGGCAGTCAGGCTACCTCTGGCGAGCACATGGAGGGCTGTGCGGCCCCCCAAAGAAATGCCACCCCACACCATGACTGACCCACCGCCAAACCGGTCATGCTGGAGGATGTTGCAGGTAGCAGAACGTTCTCCACGGCGTCTCCAGACTCTGTCACGTCTGTCACGTGCTCAGTGTGAACCTGCTTTCATCTGTGAAGAGCACAGGGCGCCAGTGGCGAATTTGCCAACCTTGGTGTTCTCTGGCAAATGCCAAACGTCCCGCACGGTGTTGGGCTGTAAGCACAACCCCTACCTGTGGACGTCGGGCCCTCATACCACCCTCATGGAGTCTGTTTCTGACCGTTTGAGCAGACACATGCACATTTGTGGCCTGCTGGAGGTCATTTTGCAGGGCTCTGGCAGTGCTCCTCCTGCTCCTCCTTGCACAAAGGCAGAGGTAGCAGTCCTGCTGCTGGGTTGTTGCCCTTCTATGGCCTCCTCCACGTCTCCTGATGTACTGGCCTGTCTCCTGGTAGCGCCTCCATGCTCTGGACACTACGCTGACAGATACAGCAAACCTTCTTGCCACAGCTCGCATTGATGTGCCATCCTGGATGAGCTGCACTACCTGAGCCACTTGTGTGGGTTGTAGACTCCGTCTCATGCTACCACTAGAGTGAAAGCACCGCCAGCATTCAAAAGTGACCAAAACATCAGCCAGGAAGCATAGGAACTGAGAAGTGGTCTGTGGTCACCACCTGCAAAACCAGTCCTTTATTGGGGGGTGTCTTGCAAATTGCCTATAATTTCCACCTGTTGTCTATTCCATTTGCACAACAGCATGTGACATTTATTGTCAATCAGTGTTGCTTCCTAAGTGGACAGTTTGATTTCACAGAAGTGTGATTGACTTGGAGTTACATTGTGTTGTTTAAGTGTTCCCTTTATTTCTTTGAGCAGTGTATATAGTATGTGACCCTTCACTTGGTTTCAAAAACTCAATGTGACCCTTCAGCCAAAAGGTTTTCCCACCCCTGGCCTATGGGGTAATGAGCTGCGTTTTTTGATAATTGACGAAAACAATTTATTTGGTAAATACAGGCTTAGAAAATGTTATACGTTTTCCTCTATGAGAGAATCTTCATCAACTAACATCATATTTTGTGATTTTTTAAACCTCAGACCTTATTTTCTGCGTTTTTTTCATGTTATTGTTCTACCATTTTTACTGTACATTTACATTTTAGTAATTTAGCAGACGCTCTGGTAATATTTTGCTAAATACAGATACTGTACCTCACATCTCTGGGCTATCTTTTAGCATTTTCCTCACAGCAACAGACATTTTCAGCCGTTGTTGGTCTTATTACACCAATATCTATTCCTTTATGGCATTGAAAAATCTATTCAGTTCCTCCACATTGAAATGAATGGTGGCCAACTTGAAAATAGGCTGCTGTGACAGATTTTACACTAAATCTATGATTACTCTTATTAAACTTGTCCAATGGGTCTCCTTGTTCTGTGGGAAATTAGGTGTAGTTCTCAATAAAGTACATCTCAATACTGCCCATTCTGTCTCAATATACCCCAAAATGCATACAGGTATGACCAGCTCATGAAATATGAGACCAACACTTTACATTTTAGTAATTTAGCAGACGCTCTTATCCAGTGACTTAACAATAGTGAGTGCATACATTTTCATACTTTACATGTTCCATTTATATTTTTGTTCAGGGTATATATGTCCATGTGAAAATGTGCTGCAAACTGAGACGTCGTCGCTCAAGTTGGTAATCCAATGTTTTGAGAATAGCTGATTAGCCCTCTGTCCAGTACATAAAATGCAAATATCCAATGTTATCTTAAGGCTACCTCTGCACCGTTTATTTTGTCATTGATAGGCTGTACATTTACCTGCTTATTTCCTGACATTGTCCAAGTTCTGAAACGGTGCGATTTTCATTCATCAACAACTTTTTAAAAAGGGTAGTAGACATTTACAGATCATAGTCTAGCCCAAACCTAATGAGACTGTTTCATCATGTAACAAATAACATTACAAACATACATAACTTTAGCAAACATTAAAAAAGGCAACATAAAATAATAAAAGTGAGTTGTGACTGAATAGATATTTAATAAACATTCCAAAACAATACATTATACTATAGACTTGCCAAATTACTCACATCCAGCATAAAAAACGTTAAACTTCTGTATTTATTTCAGAAGATGTACCAATTGTTCATGAAGCAAACATTGTATGACTTGGTGAAGGTGTTGGAGAAAGAAGCTGTCAGTTTTCCTCCCCCTCCTTCATCCGTGGTGCTCGTTCAACATAGCATTTGGAGATTCCTGTGAACATCAACAGTCATAAACATGGCATTCTGAACAGCAACATCTTCCTAATAAGAATTTAGTCCAGTTGACAATTCAACAGAATTTAGTCTTGTTCATGTTGATGATCGGTACAAGCCGGTGGTATATCAGACTGCATACCACGGGTATGAGTCAATATTACTTGTTTACTGAATTACGTTGGTAACCAGTTTTTAATAGCAATAAGGCCCCTTGGTGGTTTGTGGTATATGGCAAATATACCACGGCTAAGGGCTGTATCCAGGCAATCTGCGTTGCG